CCGTGAGTGTGAGAAAGACGAAGCGACGAAAGCGCTGTCCGGGTTCGGCCGTTCGGCCTGTTGGCCTGGTGCTGCTCTATTCCCCGCTGACGCGCCACCGCCCCGCCGGGCACCGCCGCCGCCACGCAATGCCTCCAGTCCACCTGCTGAAATCTTAAACGCCCATCGTCCACGCGGAATCGAATCGAATCGAATCACTGCCCGTCTCACCGCCCTCCCCGCTTCGCCCCGCTCCGCCCCGCCGCGACCAGTATAGCGTGACAGCGTGAGTAGTGTGTGACACGTGAGCCGGCCGTCGCTCTGTCTCTCTCGCACCCCCTACGGGACGCCCACGAGTGCGAGAGAGACAGAGCGACGATGCAGACAGCCATTACCCGGCCGCACCAAAGCGTCCCTGTGCATTAGCGCGCTGCTTGTCGCGGCCGAGCATCGCCGGGCCTTACAGTGCAGTGCGTGCTCCCGGTGACGTTTGTTTGCTTCCCTTTACAGTGGCCGGCACTGACTATCGAGGACGACGGACTCGTGGAAGAGGCACACAGTGGGCCAGAAGACCGGCACCGGCGGTCAAACCTCTAGACGCGTTTTGACCTCCAGAGTCGCTAAATTGGACTCGAACCGAACGTGCGACCCCACCAATGGATTGCTCACCGGAAGACAAATTCATTGGTGGGGTCACACGTTCGGTTCGAGTCCAATTTAGCGACTCTGGAGCTCAAAACGCGTCCACTCTGAGGCGGCCCGGACGCCGTGCAGGTAGCCAGGCCCGCAAGGCACGGCCGCTCGGCAGGACAGCCTACCCGCCAGGCGCCATCACGAGTCGAACCGAGTCGCAACGCAGCAGTGTCCGAAAAACGTAAGTCCGAGCAGCCACCGCGAGGGCCTCGGGCCTAAACGCCTCCACAGACACCCCCACTCAAGCAGACACACATATATACACACACACACACACGCCCGCGCGCAGAAACGCCCGCGCACACCGAGACCGTGTCATGTTTCGCACCGCCTCCGCCCCGGGCTGCTCCAGGCTGCCCCAGGCTGGCCCACCGCACCGGACTCCCCGGGAACAAGCCGGACACCGCCGTGGGCGTGGGCAGCGCCGGGCGGGCCGAAGCCGCACAGTGGGCCAGAAGGCCGGTGGAGGCGGCCAAAACTCTAGACGCGTTTTGAGCTCCAGATTCGCTAAGAGGGACTCGAACCGAACATGTGACCCCACCAATGGATTGCTCTCCGAACGAGGAATCCATTGGTGGGGTCACATGTTCGGTTCGAGCCCTGTATAGCGACTCTGGAGCTAAAAACGCGCCTAGAATTTTGGCCGCCTCCACCGGTCTTCTGGCCCACTGTGAGCCGGCCGAGGCCTGGCGGCAGTAGGCCGAACAGTCTAATGGATTCCCGCGGATCGGTTCCTAGTTGGATTTCGCACACGCCCAGTCGGCCCAGTCGCCCACCCCTTGTCTCCAAATTGATGAGCCAGTTGTTTCGCTAGTTGGTGCTGGTCGGTCCGGGCCGAACAGCGAGTGCTTCCGCCGCGCTGTCTCTCTCGCACTCGTGGGGCGTGACGGCGCGCCGAGCGGGTGCGAGAGAGACAGAGCGAGGAGCCTGCCGGCCGGGCTGGCCGCTGTTTTCTCAGCCGGGCCGTGGCGCCGCTCCTCGTCCTCGCCGTCCTCGCCGTCCTCGTCTACCCACAACTTCTCTCGGTCAATTTGGCGGCGCGTGGCACGCTTTCCCACGACAACAGGTGTGGCCACTCTCAGCCCAATCCCGGCCTCGGCTCGGCGGCCTCCGGGCCCGGCCCGCCGCGGCCGCGCCCCGCCCGCCGTGACCCGGGGCCAGCGTCCAGACGCACCGCGCCGCCGCGCCTACTCTACAAGGAGCGGCAGACTGATTCCGAGAGTCGCTTTCCTCTTCGGAATCAGTCTGCACGAGTGGCTTTCGGACGCTTCGTGGTCAGGAGACCGGTGCAAGCGCCCAAACTCGAGACGCGTTTTGAGCTCCAGAGTCGCTAAACAGGACTCGAAGCGAGCGTGTGACCCCACCAATGGATTCCTCGTTCGGATAGCAGTCCATTGGTGGGGTCACCCGTTCGGTTCGAGTCCCATTCAGTAACTCTGGAGCTCAAAAAGCGTCCGGGATTTTGACCGCCTGCACCGGTCTTCTGGCCCACTGTGCGCGCTGTGCGCCGCTATGCACGTGTCTCGTGTCTCCAGTCTGGCTGGATGCAGGTGGCGGCGGCGCGCGCTCTCGCCAAACTTTGTTTCCAAGCGAGGCTGGCGAAGCTCTCCAGCTCAACTCTGCCGAGGCCGATTCCCCGCCTTGTCCTCGAGATACCTAGTTGAACCTCTTTTTACCCCCACCCCTTTTTTTCGTCCCTCTCCCCCTTTTTTTTCTTTGCGAATCGCTCCGAGAGAAACCGATAGGAACTCCGCAGACGGCGGCTCTGCTGCAGCGGAGCGGCGCAACACGGGTTCCACTCGGCGTGTATTGAAGGGAGTTGGGTTTTGTTGTTGTTGTTGTTGTTGTTGTTGTTGTTTTTCGCTGGCTGTGAAAAGAGGGTGGCGCTTTTACGGGGGTCAAGATCCTCCGCCACACTTTCCGCCGTGTCTATTCTGACACCGCCAAGGCAAAAGGTAGTGTTGCCAACATCACGAGTGTCAACAAAAGACGCCGAGTGGCACCCCCATCGTATTGACAGCGATGCTGATTTTGAGTCCGTATTTTGATCGGCAAATATCGCCATGTTTGCCTTATTGGCAGCAGACGAACACACACTCACACACACACACACACACACAGACACGCGCACTCTGATTGGCTGTTTACAGACGCTGCCTCTTTTATGCATGATCCACTGATTTCCAGCTGGCGCTCTCACTGGCGCCTGGAGCGAGCCTGGAGTGACATGCCGAATTGTGCCGCACGGTTTGCCTCTTTCATTCTTTTATTCCATTTTTCCTCTACCATTTATTTTTATTTTGTTAAGAAAACGACGAGCGAATATAGTGGTGTGACAAGTGACAAACGTATCAACTCATTTCCTGTTTTTTTATTCTTTTTTTTATTTTTTTGTCGAGTGACAAAGACGACAAAGGCACAGCGCAATGATATTGGCGCCCAGTCCAATCCGCTTCGAGGGGCGCCACGCAAACGCCACGCTTGCGCCTCCGAAGTCGGCATATTAAGGGATCAAAAAATTAATCCGACGGCAGATGGCGGCATCGCGCTCCTCCTCGCGGGGAGCGGCGGGGCGCGAAGGGGGGGGGGAGGCGCTCTAATTTGTTTACTGCAATCAGAGGATGTGTTTGCAACTCGCAGTGACTCGGAGCGCGGCAGCGGGGCGGCGGGGCGGCACGGCGCGGGGACAGTCTTTCGTACAAACACGCGCCGTCAGACACATCGCTGTATTCCTTTATTCAAACAGGAAAAATGGAAAATAAACGTCGACGTGCGCCGCCTGGCTGCCTGGCCGTGCAATCAGTGGCGCCCCAATCTACGGGGCCAAGATTCGGCGTCAAGGCGAGGCCTTCCCCCGGGGAGAGACAACCTAACCACCGCACCGAACCGGGTTCTTTCGTCCTCTTTTTTTTCCGGTAAATGGGGCAATATGTTCCTGTCGGCGGATACAAACACAAATAATGAAAGAAGTGCCACGGCGCGGCGCCATCCCTCTTGCCCGACTACTTGACACTCCGAGCATGCCGCCCTGGGCTCGAGCCTGGGCTCCTCTTTGACTCCGTGATGAGGCACTCGCCGAGGGGCTGCGGGGCTGCGGGGGAGCGCGTCACACACGACCGCCGCTAGAGGGGCTCTGCGCCCGGCCGCCCCGCCGTCCCCGCCGTCTCCGTGGCTCATTTGGTTAGACGACGCGCCGGCGTCCGCCGGGACCGCGGTTCGGACACCCGCATCGCCGCATCGTGGCGGCCGCACTCGGGGAACCTGGCCACTTCCATGATGCAGTCAGATATTGGTCAACAGTGGGTCCAGGTCCGCAGCGCGCCCCGCCCCGCCCCGCCCCGCCCCGCCCCGCCCCGCCCCGCCGCACCCCACCTCCCCCGTCCTGCGGCCAGTGGCGCAGTGCGGTAGTCACACGGGGCCTGCCCGACCTCCCTTCCGCATACGTCAGCACTGAGGCTGTCTTCATGTTCCATTTGTCCGGAGCACTGCACCGCCGCCCCGCCCCGCCCCGCCCCGCAGTGGGCTTGCGGCGAGGCGGACCAAGAGTGCGGCGTTTTCGGTTTCGCCGTTTCGCCCCGCTGCATCGCAGACTGCAAGCCACTGTACTACACCGATTCCGAGAGTCGTTTTCGTCGCTCTGTCTCTCTCGAACCCGTACTGCGCGCCCCATGAGTGCGAGGGAGACAGAGCGACGAAAACGGCTCTCGGAATCCGTGTCCTGAGAGTCTCGAAAGGTCGCTCGCGTGCGGGGTCGAAGGCGCGCTGGTTGCCTATTCAACAGGCGCTGAGCCGCTGCCCGTGGTGCTTTTAAGTTTTAATAACATTGATGAGGTTCAAGCTGCCGAGCGATTCATTAGAGCCGCTCGCCGCTCTGTCTCTCTCGCACCCTTATGGAGAGCCGCGCGAGTGCGACAGAGACAGACTCTTGTTCGGACAAGCGTGGCGGTCTTCCCTGTCGTCCTCCCTGACGCGGGCCGTGCCTCTACGACCGCCGCGGGGCACGTGGGAGGGAGAGAGACAGACCTCGGACAGACAGGGGATGGCAGCGCGAGGGCGGTCGGGTCGTAGTCGGGGCGAGTCGGAGTGACTTGTCCTTGTCCTGCCACCACTTCGCTTCACTTCGGATTTCGGAGGTGCACAAACAGGAAATGCCGCCGTGGAGCAGAATGGCGTGCCGCGCCCTCTACCGGCCAGACGATCAACCTCCCCGCCGACTTTCCCGCGCAGGCGACGCCTGTGCGACGCGTGGCGCCCTCTGTGGGGAGAAGCACGAAGTTCTTCGCTGGTTCGCTTCAATTTCTCATACCCGGCGGCTGCAGTAGCCTCGCACAATGCGCTACGCATCCCCTTTCCGTCAATAAAGATTTTGTCCGCGTCTTGTTTATGTGATTAGAGGTTAAGTTTTCGTAACTGATAAAATGCTCTTGAGTTTTTCTTTTGATACTTGAGAGAGTCAATGGGCTCGTCGCATGACGCGAGGCCACCATGTGACTGTTCAGGACAATTTTCGTCGAGCTTGCTGTGAAATTTTGTGCGTGACTGTACAAGGGAGGGAGAGAGAGAGAAAGAGATACAACAGGCACTGTGATACAGGCAGTGTTATGTTTTGAAGGGTCGAGATACTAACCTGTAAATGTTTGTCCTGTTGATGAGTAATAACAAATAGAGCTATCTTGCGCTTGTGATGCGGTGGACAGCCTTTGCATGAATGACCGCCAGTCGATAATGAGAGGTCAACCAGGGTGCAGAACGAGGTTCTGATTCCACAAGGTGACAATGCTGAGAATTTACAACGGTGTGAAATGGATGAAAATAGTTTTCTGCAGCGCCGTCTGCGCTACGATAGGTGAGGACATCTTTCTTAACGATACTGGTCTTCCTGGACCTCAGGTCAATTTATTGTCTGCTACCGTAGAGGCAATATGTTCATCGTCTTGCCATTGCTTGGTATTTTTGCGAGTGTTCTTGTCTGCTAGTTTCAAATTTATTTCATTTTTGTTTTGATCTTTCACAGCGTTGTGTGTGTACCACAATTGGGTGCACGCAAAGGAACTCGACATGCTTGGGAACGGTGTTGTCAAAGTGCACCGCAGTAAGCATCTCAGAGAAGACATCTTGTATGGAGACAGAGACGGTGTGACAGCGATTAGTCTATCTCATAATGCAAACCAGAAGCCAGTAGATGGGAACATCAAGGATTTAGATGAGGCTAAAGCAAAAATCAGAGAACTGGAGATGAGAATCAAGCTACTGGAAGGAGGTAACCCTCGAAGATTCCCAGATGTAAAATTCTTGAACTATCGCACAAGAAAGCGAATACTGGTAAGTACATTCACCTTCCTCCCAAATTTGAGTTAAAATTTTTAAAAAATTATTAATATTTCACTGTTAAAATTGCAGGTAACTGGTGGTGCTGGGTTCGTTGGTTCTCATTTAGTTGACAGTTTGATGATGGAGGGCCATGAAGTCATTGTTGTTGATAATTTTTTCACGGGCCGCAAAAGAAATGTGGAGCATTGGATAGGCCATGAGAATTTTGAATTGATACATCATGACATTGTTAACCCTCTGTTCATTGAGGTTGATGAAATTTATCATCTTGCAAGTCCAGCATCCCCACAGCATTATATGTTCAATCCAGTGAAGACCATCAAAACAAACACAGTTGGCACCATCAACATGTTAGGTAAGTCTTTCATGTTTTTCAGTTTCTGAAGAATTTAATTTTTTTTTTTTGGATGTTATTTTATTTATTGCCCCTTTTATTAGGTCTTGCAAAGCGAGTTGGTGCTCGTGTGCTCATTGCAAGTACTTCTGAAGTATATGGTGACCCAGAAGTGCACCCTCAGCCTGAGACATACTGGGGCCATGTAAATCCTATAGGTAAGGTACCACTCAATATAATTGTGAATTCATATTTAATGTGAAATACTCAATGATTGCATTGTTTTTTAGGTCCTAGAGCTTGTTATGATGAAGGCAAGCGGGTATCTGAATCCTTGAGCTACGCTTACGCCAAGCAGGAAAAAGTACAAGTTCGAGTTGCACGAATATTTAATACATATGGACCTCGAATGCATATGAATGATGGCAGAGTTGTTTCAAACTTCATTCTTCAGGCACTACGAAATGAAGATATAACTGTAAATAACTATATTTCTTTCAGAACATGTTAGTTTTTCTAATTAAGAGACTTTGAGCAAATTTATTTATTTATTGACGTTTCTTTGTAGATATATGGACATGGGGATCAGACGAGAAGCTTCCAATATGTGAGTGATCTAGTTGAAGGTTTGACAGCACTAATGGCATCCAACTATTCTATGCCTGTTAATATTGGAAATCCTGTAGAATATGCTATCAAAGGTAACATGACAAATTTTAGTACCTGCTGATTGTCCTGTTTTACTTTTGCTTACTTTTATCTAAATTTTAGTTTCCACATAACTTTCAGATTTTGCCAAAAAAATTAGGGATTTGGTGGGAGGAAGAAGCCGACTAACTTTCTCAGATGCTGTTGAAGATGATCCTCAACGGCGCAAACCTGACATTACAGTTGCTCAGACACAACTTCATTGGCAACCAAAGGTATGTAGTAGTTAAACAAACAATGCATGTATGCACTTTTATCTTTTTTCATCAAACCCACTAAAAATCCCAATCTTTGCCACCTTTTGTTTGATCAGGTCACCCTACAACAGGGATTAAAGAAGACCATTGACTTTTTCCACAAAGAACTTCTACGGTCCAGCCACTCTAATCGCAACATGTTTCAGCCAGAATTGAGCCTGACCAATCCTATTCTCAATGCAAAAGCTGAGCAGGTTGAAGTCAAGAGGTAGCCTTTCAAAGGGATTATGTTAGTACAGTACTTCACTAGTCATCAACTACAACCTACACCATTTCTGATTCTTAGTGGTGGTCCATGTATTTCAAATATTAATAGCAAATGACTGTAGAGTGTTAGATACTTTCAATGAGATAAATAAGCTGACTTGTTCTCTTCATTTGTTGAAGCTTCTTGTGATGGATATGAGTACCTTCAGTTAATATTTAATTGTTAGGTATTTTACAATGTGGTATTTAGGAGTAAAAATAGTAAAGGTAGTGGTTTGTTATCAGTTTTCCCTAATGAAACATTGTCAATATAATTCGTAATTCGCCCCAATGATATTTTTAATTACAGTATGTTTTTTCTCATTGCAAGAACATCACTTTGGTAATTGACTGAATCTTAAATTATGTTGAGTCATTCGTTTCCTGTCCTCTGTTTTTATTTGTTTCATTCCTGGTCATGGCCTATCCCAGGAAGCATGCTGCCAGAAGCATTGACTTTGACTAATTTTATTTGTTTGTTTTTGTTAATGTCTAATTGATTTTTTTTAAATGTGTAGATATTTTATTGTTTTGTTTTTATACATTTGTATCAATGTGATAGATCAAATCTTATCTTTACTTCAGAGTAATTAATCAATCGACAAATTCATAAATAGGGAATTGGTAGCTAAGCACTATTTGAGCTGCTATTAGACAGTTGTGTTTGGACTGATTGGATCCCCATTGTTTTGCTATCTTTAAGTTTTCATGGAGATTATTATTCAGTCAAACTGTCTATTTGGCTTCTTTAAAACCTTAAACTTTGCCTTTGTGACTTGGAGATTTAGTAAGAAAGTTCTCTCTTATTTATCTACAATGAACACTGGATACAGTGCCATAGTGTACATCCAGTGAGTCAGTGTACCTAAACTGGATGGAAATTGTGATGCTATTTTTAACAGATGATATTTAACTCTATTTTTATGTAAACTTGTGATAATTGTCCATTCAATTGTAGGTCATCATTAGTTATATTTGTTATCAAGATTACAGTTCTGAAATACTATTAGCACAAACATGCAAGGCTGTACTTATTCTGAACTCTGTGCTGTGCATGGGGTGACTTGATGGTTCGGCTTTCCATCAGTCTTTCCAGTTGAATGTTACAGTATAACTCTGCATATCTGCAAAAGTATTTTTTCCTCTCTCTATTTTGTTTTGTCTAGTGTGAAATTTTGTATTTTACTTGAATTTCATTATTACTATTATTCTTAAAAGTTAGAGGTGTCCTCATCTGTCAGTATGACTCTGACTGGAACAAATGTTGTCATCACTTTTTAAGGTGGAAATATTGTGACTCGTGAAGAATTCTGTTCCTTGTCATGTGGCGTTCTGAGACGCTTTTGGGTACATTCACTTTGTCTGTCCCTTTCTTCCCGCTGCTGAATCAGAATGAACATAGTCTATTAATGAGAGTGCCAACAGATTTGTGTGAGAACCTAGATGAAAAGGAGAGCAGTGTTAATCGAAAATGGGAGATTAAAACGTGTCTGAGGTAAAAAAATTTGAGCATCATTTCCTAGCACCCTCTCACCAACCCGTGCCGCAAGCAGGCAAGAAAGTCAGGCCGATTCTAGACCCGCCCTTGTGTAGGGCGTTCACTGCAGAAGCGAGGCGGCCTGGACCTGCGAGCCACCCTACACTGTGGAACAGTGGAGGCCACCACGGCACGGCGCCAGGCCGTCTGGTGCGTCGAGCCCCCGAGCCAAGGCCGAGCGATTCCGAAGGATCATTTCGTCGCTCTGTCTTTGTCGCTCTCGTGAAGCGAGCCGTAGGGGTGCGTAGGGGGCCTAGGCGGCCGTAGGGGTGCGAGAGAGACAGAGCGACGAGACGACCCCTCGGAATGAGGCGGCGCTGAGCCTGGCCGGGCCTGGCTGGGCCTGACATGGCGCACGTAATCCGATTTCCAGAGTGACAGTGTAAGTGTCTCGCCGTGTTCCTTCGCGTGTCGAGGCAGCAGTGCAGCAGCAGCAGGGCCAGAGAGTCGTTTTCGCCGCTCTGTCTCTCTCGCACCTCTACGGAACGCCCCACGAGTGCAAGAGAGACAGAGGCTTGCCTTTAGGCCAGACTACATGGAGGCAAAAGTCGGCCGGGAAGCCCCATCCCATTCCATCGCGCTCCGCCTCGCGCGTGCCCCAAAGCCCCAAAGCGCGCACCCAGAATGTGAATTAGCCACGCGTCTCGTCTTTAAGAATAAGAAAAAGGGGCCGGTCGTGTCTCGAGTCGCGAATGCTTTCGGAGGAAGACCTCGGCTCCCGTTCACTCACCCGGTCGCCGGGCATGGCCCTCGCAATCCCATCCGTGCTTTCGTCGCCCTGTCTCTCCCGCACCCCCACGGGACGCCCCACGAGTGCGAGAGAGACACACTGTTCGGAATCCGTCCGGGCTCAACGACACCCATTGTGACGCCTCGTTATCTGGACACGGCCGTGTGTTGAGCAAGCAGTCACTTGGGCTTAATCTTCAATCATCTGACCGGAGTCACCAAGTGGGACTCGAACCGAAAGTGTGACCCACCAATGGATTGCTCTCCGAACGAGGAATCCATTGGTGGGATCACACGCTTGGTTCAAGTCCCATTCAGCGACCCTGGAGCTCAAAACGCGTCGAGTCTCTGTCCCAGCCCTGCCGACGACGCCCGTCTCGTGCTGCAAAGGGTGGTGGAAGAGCCCCCACCGGGTAGGCAACCCAACCTACGGCCAGGCGAGCCGCGTGTACACTGGGTGGCCTACGCCGACGGCGGACACACCTGCGAGAACACACCGGGTGGTCAGGGGTCAGGGGTGATCAGTCGAGGCAAACCTTGTCTAGAATTCCGAGTAGTTGCAGAGCTTGAGGACCGGTGCTGTCTTACCAGTGTATAACGTTAAGCCTTAGTTTCGCAAAAAATAGTTGTATGGAGTGCGAATCGAATGTGAATCACTATGCGTTAGTCGTGTCAGTGTGTCAGTCAGTGGGTGGTCGGTCTCCTCATCGCGGAGGTTGGATCCGTCAGGTCACACGGGGTGTCAAACTGGTCGAATATCTGTCTTGTCGTGATTTTGCGATAGCGATCCCCGGAGCGATACAGTCTGTCTCTGTCTCGCCGGTCTTGGCGAGGCGCCACCACTGCGAAACGCAGTGGAGATGCACGGCATCGGATTCCACTACACTGTGTCAAGGAAAGAGCGAGACTCATTGACGTCCACGTCGCGCGCTTCATCCTGACTGTGTGCGGGCTGTGAGGCGAGCCGCGGTCGCGAACAACCGTCTCCCGTCGCTCTGTCTCCCTCGCACCCCTACGGAGCTCCCCATGAGTGCGAGAGAGACAGAGGGACGAAAGCGCCGACAGTTCGGAACGAGCGTGCTGGTCCTCTGCGTGCAGACCGTTTTCGAGGGTCGTTTTCGTCGCTCTGTCTCTCTGGCACTCATGGGGCGTGCCGCACAGGTGCGAGAGAGACAGAGCGACGAATCAGTCTGCCGCACGCGGACGCCGCGCCGGCCCACGACGGGACGGGGCCTCTTTGTCACCGCGATCATTCAACACTGCCAGGAACGGCGTGTGCGTGTTGCAGCCCGTCCAGGCCCTCGTCCAGGCCGTCCAGGCCGTCCAGGGCTCAGGTAAAGGTGTCCGCAGTGTCCGGAGGGTGCTCCATTCTGCTCCACTCGGCGGCGAGGCGCAGAGGGCGGGGTGGGGGCAAGGTGCGCCGCGGGGCGCGGGGCGCGGGGCGCCTGGTGTGCTCCGCTACTCCATGCTGGCCGTGAGTACGAGGCCCGCCCGCCCCGCCAGGCCGCCCGCCAGCGCCGCCAGTTGTGTTCGGGCTCCGCGCCGGCTCGCATCGCATCGCGTCCACCGCGTCCACGGCGTCGGCGCGCCACAGGCCGCGAGCTCCCCGTCGTGCGCCTCGCAGCACGCGCCGCACGTCGCCGCCGTCGCCGCCAACGCCGTGGAGCACGTGTTGCTCGCGGTCCTTATCAACAGCTTCGACGCAACAAGGAGCACCGCCGCCGACGGCCGCACCGCCGCGCCGAACACGGCTGAACGCGGTCGACGCGACGGGTGTCACGTGCTCGCCGAACACCGCCGCGTCGCCGTCCTGCCGCGTCCTGCGCCCTGCAGAGTGCTCCCAGTGCGTGCGCGCGTGTTGACATCTCGTTTTTGGAAAGGCCGCTCCGCGCTCCGCCCCACTTGCAGTGGCCCTGCTGCGCCCTGCTGCCTCGCCGCTTCGGCGCGCCGTGCCGGTTCCGTTGCGGTTCCCCCGCGGTTCCCACACTCGCGAGATCGAGAATCGAGAAGACGGACCAGGTGAGTCAGACTGCCGGACGCGACCGCGCCAGCCGCGCCGCCCGACGTGTGAACCGCTCCAGCGCGCGCCAGCGCCAAGTCGAGTGTGGCCTGGACTGCGGCTTCGGGGCTTCGAGCACCGGCGGCCGACCGGGCCTTGTTTGTTTTCGCTTGGCGCGGTGCCCACCCCGCCCCGCCCCACCCCGCCCCGCCCCGCCTCGTGGTACGCCCCAATCAATGAGGACAGATGAAATATATAAATGAATTGGGAGCGCCGGACGGTCGTGGCGCGGCCGCCGTGACAGAAGGCAAACGAACCCGCGCAGCACAGTGCGGACATGTCTCGCTGTCAGGACTTGGAGGATCTCGTCACGTCTTGAAATGTGTGTGTGTGGGGGGGGGGGTAATGTGCTTAAAGCACTTGGCCAACAATACCGCCACAGCGGGTCGCAAATGTGGAACTGCGACAGCGTTATGGCACTCATGCGTGGCTGCCTTTGACGCCCGACAGTGGGCCCAAAATCCCAAACGCGTTTTGAGCTCCAGAGTCGCTAAGTGGGACTCAAACCGAACGTGTGACCCCACCAATAGATTGCTCTCCGGACGAGGATTCCATTGGTGGGGTCGCTCGTTTGATTCGCGTCCTGTTTTAGCGACTCTGGAGCTCAAAACGCGTCTCGAGTTTTGGCCGCCTCCACCGGTCCCCTGGCCCACTGTGCGCCTTGCTCTTTCTAACGCC